TATGTGAACCTTTGGACTTAATAACTGGTTGACCCTCCTTTGGCAGCAATAACCTCAACCAAACGTTTCCTGTAGTTGCAGATCAGACCTGCACAACGATCTGGAGTAATTTTGGACCACTCCTCTTCACAAAACTGTTTCAGTGTAGCAATATTCTTGGGAAGTCTGGTGTGAATCGCTCTCTTAAGGTCATGCCACAGCATTTCAGTCGGGTTGAGGTCAGGACTCTGACTGGGCCACTCCAGAAGGCGTATTCTGTGCTGTTGCAGCCATTGTTTTGTTGAATTACTTGTATGCTTTGGGTCATTGTCCTGTTGCATCACCCATCCTCTGCGGAGCTTCAGTTGGCGGACAGATGGTCGTACGTTTTCCAACAAAATGTCTTGATAAACTCTGGAATTAATTTTCCCATCAATGACAACAATCCGTCCAGTCCCTGAGGCAGCAAAGCAGCCCCAAACCATGATGCTCCCTCCGCCATGTTTTACAGTGGGGATGAGGTTTTGATGTTGGTGTGCTGTGCCTTTTTTTCTCCACACATAGTGTTGTGTGTTCTTCCCAAACAACTCAATCTTGGTTTCATCTGTCCACAGTATATTTTGCCAGTAGTGCTGTGGAACATCCAGGTGCTCTTTTGCAAACTTCAAACGTGCTGCAATCTTCTTTTTGAACAGCAATGGCTTCCTCCGTGGTGTCCTCCCATGTACTCCATTCTTGTTTAATGTTTTCCTTATTGTAGATGTCTCAACAAAAATGTTAGCATGTGCCAGAGATTTCTGTAGGTCTTTAGCTGACACTCTGGGATTCTTCTTTACCTCATGCAGCATTCTGTGCTGTGCTCTTGCAGTCATTTTTACAGGACGACCACGCCTAGGGAGAGTAGCAACAGTGCTAAACTTTCTCAATTTGTAGACAGTCTGTCTTACCGTGGACACATGAACATCAAGGCTTTTGGAGATACTTTTGTAACCCTTTCCAGCTTCATGCAAGTCAACAATTCTTGATCGTAGGTCTTCTGAGAGCTCTTTTCTGCGAGGCATGGTTCACATCAGACAGTGCTTCTTGAAACCAGTAAACCCAAAACAGGTGTGTGTTTTTTAAGGGCAGGACAGCTGTCAGCAACAAATCCAATATCAGCACACTGATTGGAGTCAATGTTGGCTCACTCCTGGCTCCAATTAGCTCTGGGAGAAGTCATTAAGCTGGGGCCTCACATACTTTTTCCTCCCTGCACTGTGAATGTTTACATGTTATGTGCAATTAAACCATGGCAACATCTAATGTTTGTGTAGTATTATGTTCAGCAGACTGTGTTCTTCTATTGTTGTGACTAAGATGACGTTCAGAGCACATTTTATGCCCAATTCATGCAAAACTCCACGTAATCCCAAGGGGTTCACATACTTTTTCTTGCAACTGTATATAAGGCAACATACATCCATTATACCCACAAACACATACTTAGTGGGAATAAAGCATTATAAATCATAAATTATAAATCTCAACATATATAAAAATACACATAATGACAATAAAAATTAAAAAATAGGGCCAAATGGATCCACATTCTAGAACTCAAAGGGAACGCCAAAGATTAGTAGTGTGTAGTTATTTTATCATTAGTCATACTCAAATTTTCATAACTAAAACCCTATCAGTAGGACATTACTGTACCATTATCATAAAACATTATTGGCAGCACGAAAAAATATAATCACAAGGAGTCAGATATAATCAATGGCACAAAAATATTGTCGAATGACAACTCTGATGGCACAAATATATTATCAGATAATTGTCAACAAGTCCTTTAGGGTGCAAGATATTAAGTTGGAAAATCCAATAAATCTCCTCAGCCTCATGTCCAATCTGTCGCCATCCAGCAGGTATGAAGGGATCGATTGAATAGCAATAAGGTCCAATTCGCTGGGGTCTTTATTATGATGTAATGTTGAGAGACATGGCATTTTGACAATCCTTTCTCCAAGCTGCTTCCAAAAACGCATGGAGGCAGGGTTCTTCTATATGAGTAGAACCATTAGACCCCTATGGGTGCATTTTGGGGAACATAGAAGAAACATGGAAAAAATATTATCTAAGTGCATTGGGCTTGATTTACTAAAACTGGAGAGTGCAAAATCTGGTGCAACTCTGCATAGAAACCAATCAACTTCCATGTTTTTTGTCAAAGTTTAATTGAACAAGCTAAAGTTAGAAGCTGTTTGGCTACCATGCACAGCTGCACCATATTTTCTACTTAGACTTTCTCTTACATCATAATAAAAACCCCAGCAAGTTGGGTCTTTTTGCTATTTAAGAAATCCCTTCACACCCAGGGGGGACAATTTTGACACAGTTAGTAAAAAAATAGATTTAGAGGTTCAAATATAAATTACTGTATCACCCAATATATGGCTTCCATCCAGTAGCAAAAAAATATGCAGACCAAAAAAAAGAGATTTGTGAAAAGAGATTCACAGAAGAAACGGCTACATTATGGACAGAATGCGATACTCAGAAAGAATTTCCAAATTGGCGATATGCACGCCGACCTACAAGGAGGCAGCCATCTTCACATGCCATGAGTCATGCAAAAGCTGTACAGGCGTCATGGAGAGGTCGGAACCCGCGAAATGTCGGCTGATGTAAGCGGTAGTTCCCTGGATCAACACGGCAGTACCTATGAAGGATATTTCTATTTTTTACTACCCATGGCACAGGTGGTGAGTGGACTTTAAACAGGAATAACGAAGAAGGTTTCTTGTTACTTATACTACATATACATCAGAGTGAGAGTACCCAGAGTGACTATCCTCATATTATTTGTCTTATTTCAGGATGGGGACATTATGATGCATTACCTAGATGCAAGGCACACAACATATATTGCAACAGGCGGAAGACCCATTGGGCCTCACTCCATCTCAAATATTAAAGTGGTTTGCAGTCCACATGTTGTGGTGAAGAAACCATATATAGCAGGCCTCTGCTATCTTCATTTAACTCTCCATCAAGACATCAACAGGGACTCTTGCATCTACAAGAATCTTTGCAACTATTTGCATCTACCACGAGCCCCAATCACATATGCCTATATAGGGTGGTACTGCTTGAATCCATAATTACATATTTGGGGTACTTTTTTCTCCCCCCCTTTCTCATTCCAATTTTTTACCCATATTGCCTTTCATAGGCTTAGGGTTATGTCTCTCTCCATGTGGTAACTGTATTTTGCCTATTTGCATAGCATGTGATATATTATATACCTATGGTACAATTTTTGAAAACACCTCCTACAGGGAGTGTAACCAATGTGCGGTGCTGCAAAGACTTTTAGACTATGGTTGTCACAACCTTTGCAGCACACTTATATCCAGACCGGTCTTGGTGTCATTTTAAATGGTTTTAGGTCTGTGTGTATTGTCTCATACTGAGGTGATGGAAAACCAGGGCGATTGCCCAATTGTCTAATATTAATGTGTAATAAAGCATAATTTTTGGAAATTCTTTCTGAGTATCACATTCTGTCCATAATGTAGCCGCTTCTTCTGTGAATCTCTTTTCACAAATCTCTTTTTTGGGACAATTTTGACCCCTTGATGAGTGGAAACTACCTGCCTGCAAACCAGATGCTCTATGGGTACAACACCAACACAATAGTGCCACCAATTGGAACATAAAATGATCATCAGTCTTTAGATTCTGGTTCCACTGATCTTCCCCCAGAAGAACTACTACCCCTAAGGCCAGTTTAGCCTTCTCTGCAGTGTGGCCCTTTTTAACTATGCCTGCTGCCAACAATAGTTTTGTTACCTGCAACCTCTGCTGGAAGCACATGCACCTAGTACCCACTTTTGGGTTCTACCATAAAGCACAAGCAGTTGACTCAGAAACACGGAAGTTAATGGGAGCTGCAGCTATCCGAGAGAAGGTGGGGACATTTCAGGTTTCCCTCCCCCAAATCCTGTTGCCAAAAGAGTCACCCGGTCCTAGTATTGCTGGCACTACAACTGCTTGAGAGCAGTTGTAGTTCCAGCAATACTAGGACCGGGTGACTCTTTTGGCAACAGGATTTTTGTATGAGTAAAACCAGGTGGAAAAAAACCTCTGCCATTTCATAGCCAGAGCTGCTCCTGGGTGGTAGGAACCAGCTGTCATTGCTTTTCCCAGAAGGACGTCCCTGCTGTCTTCGTTCACTTTAAGGAAATCATGTCTCAGTCGCTGGACTACGCTGTCTGTGGGAGGGTACTTATGACCCCTGGCAATGCATATGCATAGGTATAAATGGGCCCTAAATTTGTAAAGCAAACTTTGTATAGAGAGAGAATCGGATATAAAACATTAATTTCAAAACATAAACTTAAAAAAAAAAAAACTTAACACAACTATTATTTTTTCACTTTAGAAAGAACGCTGTCCACAATGAGACACCTGATTTATATATAGAGACAGACAAATACCTTGGCAGTTATCTGAATACATGTCATTTTCTGCATAGCCAAAAACTTCACATAGTATTAAATCATTTTGCATGACTAGGGGGGCAAAGCAGATTTTAAGTGCTGGCAGTACATTTTTTAAAATAAAAATCCCCATCAAAGTGTCAGACAAAGATATGATAGTGACAATGGATTTGGTTCAGAACCGGGAATGTCCCAGTAAGAGGTGGACACTTCGGGGGCATGTGCCAAAATAATACAAGTTTAGTCATCAGATGGTTCTAACGTTACCAAAATAGCTTTGTCTTCTCTGCCCCTGCTCACCCTCCCTAATCACACAGCATTTGGTGCTACCCACATTATATCTGACAGGATTAGTGAGGAAATATCCTAAGCTAGTATCAAATATTCTTAGGTTCATTGTTACAGGAAAGAGGAGGGAGGTATTATCTGCTATTGTGTGAGACTGACACACTACTGGTAAGCTAAGTATATAAGGCAGTGAACACAAAGCTCCCTGTGCAGCATCTCAGAGGCTTCTGCGACGTGACCACCTTCATCATGGAAAACAAAAGGGTGTTCTTTGACATAACAGCAGATGGGATTCCCCTTGGCCGCATAGTGATGGAGGTACAGTCTGATGAAAAAAGTGATGTTCACTGTTGATTTGAATTTTTTTTTTCTTAATAGTGAGTGTCATATAATTGACTTTGGTGGTCTCAATTTAAAATACCTAGGACATATAACTGGTCATAGACATCACAAAACGATTGGACACACAGCACTAATCATCTCATGATGCCTTCTGTGCAAGCTTCACCTCTAAAGGGCACAGCTTCACTTTCTGCAGACAGTCTTGACACAGGCTTACCTTGGGGAAATAAAAAGTTTATCTCCTTGAGAACAGTCGTGAGGCTACTCTATTGACATAGAATTGTCATCTGACTGCCAAAAAATGTAATGTCTAAAAGCACCTGTAAACCAAATAAAAAAGCGGAAGCATTTGTAATTGGTCTCATGAGATTGTGGGGTCCAAGAAAAACTGTTACTTGTCTAATTTACCAGTGTGATCAAAGTACATGAAGAATGCTGCCTTATTCTATTAATCACTTCCTTCTTTAATTATGTTATCTCTTTTTCTATTATGTAGATTATGGAAATGTATTCATTCCGGTAACAAGTATGAATATCACATATTGTTTTTTTTCTTAAATGTTGTACTATCCTTTTAAATTATAAAGCTAAACCTGATTTTGAGGGGAACCAGATTTCTAAGATCATGTGTGAGATAGTTGGTGGCCCATTTCAGATTTGCTCCAGGTCTCTGTACACAACGTATATAGATATATTTATCATTTTTACTCTTTGCTTGCACATTTCTAATGATTTTTATAGTGTCACAATGTATGGAAATCAGACAATTTAAGAAATTACATATTATCACAAACAATAAGATGTATTTTGAAGATTTCTGTATGCAAAATCTTACAAACACAATCTATAGGAAATGTTTAGGTGAGACATAAGAACAGATGCAATTTTTTTTACAGATGAGTAGTTATGTCTAAAATAATTCTACAATATTATGACATGAAGCAGTCAGCTAGTTAGACTTTTAATGGAGAGATAAAAATGTTGGTAAAGCAGCAGAAGCACTGATAATAATAAGTAAAGTAATGATAGTGAAGAAAAAGTGATTAGCTATGCAGCTGGAAACAGCAATGAAGAAAACTGTAAATTTAAAGAATGGTGCCAAATACCCAGGGCCGTCCTTAACACGGGGCAAATTGGGCAGCTTCCCTGGGCTCAGTCATTATTGTGGGGCCCAAAGCAGCTGTCCCTTAAACCTGCGCTTTTCAAGGTTTGCTGGCACTGGCCACGGATAGAGAAGTCAGCCACATTCACGTCCTCTAGTCCCGCTGCAGCCCTGTCAGGATGGAGTAATCTGTCCTCTTCCGCTCCCCGCACAACTTCAATTCCACTGGGGGGAGCTTCTGCTGCTGTGGAGGCTCCTGCAGGGAGTCTGGGGCCATCTGCCCCTGTGCCCCCCCCCCCTCCGAGGCTCTACTGTGACAGTGCCAGACCGATCCCATTGCCACACAGCAAGTGCCCCATACCGCCCTGTGCCCACAGTAACAAACCTGACAGAGTCAACTCAGGTGAGACCACATACAGGACACATGCTGGGTGGGCACCTTAACCCCTACACTGCAGTGTTCCTGCACTCTGCACTGATTCACTATCCCAGGGGCTTTTCATTCTAATGTCACCCTACAATAGGAGGGGCCCTGGACTAGAGGTAGCTGTCTTTCTATGGAGGGGCCCCTGGACTAGAGATAGTAGTCTCTCTATGGAGGGGCCCCCGGTCCCTAAACCAGAGGTGGCAGTCTCCCAATGGAGGGGCCACTGGAATGGAGGTAGCAGCCTCTCTATGTAGGGCATCCATAAAGAGATTGCAACCTTCAGTCCAGGGGCACCTTCATTAAGAGATTGCCACCTCCAGTCCAGGGGCCCCTCCATAGGGAGAGTGCTGCACTCAGTCAAGGGGCCCCTCCACAGAAAGACTGCCATGTTAACCACTAGCAACCAAGCAGTGAGTGGTGATGATGTGCAGTAACCTCTAGGAACCAATCAGTGAGTGGAAATGATGTGCAGTAGCCGCTAGCATCCAATCAGTGAGTGGTGATTATGTGCAGTAACCACTAGCAACCAATCAGTAAGTGGTAGTGATGTGCAGTAACCTCTAGCAACCATCAGTGAGTTGTAAGGGTGTTCAGTAATCTTTAGCAACAAATCAGTGAGTGGTGAGGATGTGCAGTAACTTCTAGCAACCAATCAATTAGCAGTAATGATGTGCAGTAGCCTCTAGCAATCAGTGAGTGGTAAGATTGTGCAGTAACCTCTAGCAACCAGTCAGTGAGTGGTAATGATATATTCTGTAACCTCAGGTAACCAATTGCAATTGCTGACTGATCTGCTGCAGTAAACTGATTTTGAGTCTAGTTGCTATTTATGGTATGTCTCAAAGCAGGGGGAGAGCAAAATTAAAGTGGGGAGGTCGGGGCCCAAAAAAATGTTTGCTTGGGGGCCAATCAATATTAAAGACGGCCCTGCAAATACCCAGTTTCATTTGGCATTAATATTGGCTACATGCAACCATGTACCTTTCAGTATATGGAAACATTGGAAGTATATAGTTTTTTTTACCAGTTATTTAATTGTGAACACAAATAACTTCAACACCTGCCACAGGATACACTATAAGGCATTAAATCTGTCTTGCTATGGAAAAATAGTGCAGTTATGTGTTGATTAGAAAATCAACAAATGTACTTTTGAATGCAACTTGTGAAAGTACCAGAATTTGTCTTTATGTCAGCTTGTTATTCCCTGCATAGACGGAATCCTACTGGAAGAGAGAGGATCAGCAGTGTCAACCAATCAAGGCTGTTAATCTTGTTTAGGCACAATAGAGCTTTAAAAAAAACAAACAAAATCTATGTCCAATAAAAGTGATTGAGGGGGGAGGAGGCAGGGCAAGAGGAGATTGGGTTTAAAGTGAAGGTCCTCTTTAAATACATATGTCACTGGGGGTACAATGTACACAAATAGCTGTGGTTAAAAGGGGTGTCCAGGGGCACACATCCATCCCTGTATGCAAGTTAAAGTGTAGATGTGCAGTTCCCAGTGTACAGCTGCATTCTGTTATTGATTTTAACAGGCAGCAGTAGACAAACACCTGTCACTCACAGATGCTCACTTTTCACTATGTACAACTATCTGGCCCTGTGTGAATGAGCTCTTAATGCCCAACTCCAGGAAGCATCAAAATGTACCATTGCGGTGGGGCTGGGCCCATACTGCAAGGGTTAATTGCTTGTTTAGGTCTAGGGGACACAGAAAAGAATATCTAATTACCCAATCCCCCATGCTACTAGACCTCTCCCCACAGTGTCTTTTCTCCTATGCTACAGTGGTCTAGGGTCCTGACATCATAAAAGGTCGATAGTCCTACACTGAATATAATGATGCAGAAGGACAGTCCACTGCCAGAGTGTGGAGGAGCAAAATTTACCAGGGAAGCAGAGAACAAGTAGGTAACCCTTGCAGTGCAGACATAGCCCCACTGTAAGGGATTATTTTTACCTTTCCCAGAGTTGGGCTTTAAACAAGCCTTCATTCCCCTCTGTAGCGTTACGTATTGTGGAGAAATTTATCTTTAAAATTCACAAAAGCAGCACTGAGATCTTACCTTTTACCTATTACATAAAATTGCACTCAAATCTTGATAAACTTTGGAGTCATTGATTTGATCTCTGAGAATTATTACTGCTTATTAAGAGTATGTAAATCCTTTAATGTCCATTGTATAGGCACAGGTGCACTTTAATGTATACACTGAGATAATAATGCAGGTTAGGTCCACATATATTTGGGGGACACAGACACAATTTTCATACTTTTGGCTCTGTATGCCAGCAGAATAAATTAAAACGAAACAATCCAAATGGATTTGAAGTGCAGACTTTCAGCTTTAATTCAAGGGGTTGAACATAAATATCAAGTACATATTTTAGGAACTGCAAACATTTTTATAAACAGTCCCTCCATTTTCAGGGGCTCAAATGTAATTGGACAAATGAATATAATCATAAATAAAATGTTAATTTTTAATATATTTCTGAGGATCCTTTACTGGCAATGACTGCCTGAAGTCTGGAACCCATGGACATTACCAAAGACTGGGTTTCCTCCTTTCTGATGTTTTGCTAGGCTCTAACTGCAGCTCTCTTTGGTTGTTCTTTGTTTGTGGGTCTTTATGCCTTTAGTTTTGCCTTCAGCAAGTGAACTGCATGCTCAATGGGGTTGAGATCAGGTGATTGACTCGGCCATTGCAGAATATTCCACTTCTTTTCCTTCAAAAGCTCCTGGGTTGCTTTTGCAGTTTGTTTGTTGGCTGACAGTATATCTCTAAACACTGCAAAATTAATCCGGCTGCTTCTGTCACATCATTAGTAAACATCAATGACCCAGTGCCACTGGAAGCCATGCATGCCCATGCCATCACACTGCCTCCACCATGTTTTACAGGTGACGTTGTGTGCTTTGGATCATGGGCTGTTCCAAGCCTTCTCCACACTTTTTTCTTCCCATCATTCTGGTACAGATTAATCTTAGTTTCATCCATTCAGAGAATGCTTTTCCAGAACTGGTCTGGCTTTTTTAGATTTTTTTTAGATGTGGAATATACTATATGTTTTCTATAAGGGTTTAATCATACAAGAAAGGTTTTCCTTGGCAAGGAACGATGTATTATTTTGTACTCTATTTTCTGTTTGGGTGTTTTACCACACATTTCCTATACATAATCACATGTGAAATGCACAGACTTATGTCTATGTACAGCAAAAGTATCACACACAGGCTCAAAATCCTTACCTGTGGGAGCAGCACACTGGTTAAATGGTTAGCACTTCAGCCTGGCAGTACTAGGGTCATTGATTCAAATCCCAAACAAGGCACCACCTGCCTGGAGTTTGCATGTTCTCCCTGTGCCTGCGTGGGCTTCCTCCGGGTACTTGAGTTTCCTCCCACACTCCAAAGACATGCTGGTCGGTTAGTAGGATCCAGTCTAAATTGTCCCTGGTATGTATACATATGAATGTAAGTTAGGGACTTTAGATTGTACACCCCTAGAGGGTTAGGGACTGATGTGACTGTACAATATATATATGTAAAGTGCTGCGTAAATTGATGGCGCTATATAAGTACCTAAAATAAACTGTAGGTAATATACCATTTTTATGTAAATTACACCAATGGCTGTCCAAAGTATCACCTAATAACCTCTCCCCCCCGACTTTAAAGATATAGTTCACCTTTACCAAAAAACTGCCTATGCAGATAAAGCAGATCCGTAGATGAGACAAGCTGTGCAGCTTTGACCAAAATTGAATAATTCCCTTGCTATAGGTGTAGGCCATTTACGTACCTCATGAAGTCAGACTGGAAAACTCCCTTGATGTTGCTAAGAAAGGCCCAGCTATTACAGTTTGCCTTCTTTCTCTCACCTGATGCAACAGCATGAAGGTGAAGGGTGAACAGTAATAGCTGGGCCTCTCATAGCAACATCTTGGGAGTTTTTCAGCCAGGCTTCATGAGGTACATAAATTTCCTGCACCTATAGCAAGGGTATTATTCAACTTTAACCACTAGCCTACAGGGCACTTATACCCCCTTCCGGCCCAAGCCAATTTCCAGCGTTGTCACACTTTGAATGACAATTGCGCGGTCATGCAACACTGTACCCATAAGGAAATTTTTACCATTTTTTTGAGACAGATAGAGCTTTCTTTTGGTGGTATTTAATCACCTCTGGGGTTTTTCTTTTTTCTTAAACCAAAAACCACTGAAAATTTTGAAAAAAAAACATTTTTCTTAGTTTTTGTTATACAATTTTGTAAATAAGTGAATTTTCTCCTTCACTGATGTGCGCTAATAAGGCTGCAGTGATGGGCACTGATAGGCTACACTGATGGACACTGATAGGTGGCTCTGATGGGCACTGATGAGGAGGCACTGGTAGGTTGCACTGATGGGCATTGACAGGTATCACTGATGGGCACTGAAAGGCAGCACTGATACATGACACTGATATATGGCACTGATAGGCAGCACTGACTGGCACTGATAGGCGGCACTGACTGGCACTGTTAGGCAGCACTGACTGGCACTGATAGGTGGCACTGATTGGCATTGATAGGTGGCACTGACTGGCACTGATGGGTGACATTGAAAGGCAGCTCAGATGGACACTGATATGTGGCATTGATGTGCACTGGTATGCAATGATATGTGGCATTGATGTGGCACTGATGGGCACTGGCACGTGGCACTGATGAGCACTGACTGCTGGCACTGACGGACACTGACAGGTGGCACTTCTGGGGCCACACTGATCATCAGGGCACACTGATCATCAGTGCCCTGATGATCAGCGTACATGTCCCCTCTGCAGAAAGCCGATTACCGCCTCTCCTCACCTCTCGAACTGTCAGCGTAACAGCTTGAGAGGAGAGAAATGCCGATAAGCGGCATTTCCATGTTTACATGTGATCAGCTGTGATTGGACACAGCTGATCACATGACCGAGCCGACATCTTCGGCTCTTTCCATGATCCACTGTGTCCGAGGGAAACAGCGCACCGGCGATCGCCGCGCTGCGCGCTCCGTAAGCCGCGCATGCGCAGTGAGAATGGAAGGACGTCATATGATGTCCTATCAGAACGAGAGAACCACCTTGCGCCCGTCATTGTACTATCTGGCAGGCGGAAGGTGGTTAATCAAAGCTGCACAGCTTATTTTTATCTACAGACACCCCTTATCTGTACAGGCAGTTTATTTCTTTAAATAAACCTGTGCTTTGCCCAGTATCACTTGTCTCTCTCTCTCATATCCTTCACTCTCCTGGTGCTCCGTTTATCTGCCGGAAGTGAAGAGAAACACCAGGTATTTTGTGGCAAAGGAGAGTATATAATTGACTCCTTTTCCTTGCCAATGATGGCAGGTATGTATGGGCAGGTAGAGAGTTTTCAGTCCAGTGTAATATCCAAATTGCAACTTGAAGCTCATAGAGGACCTCCTCTCCTCCTTCCCAGTGGCTGAACAGAGCAGCAGGAGAGTAAGGGAAGGAGAGCAGATGCTGCTGGAAGATGAGGAATGTACGTAAACTGGTGTTGATGAGCAAAGCTAGCAGTCCTTTGCCAATAAATACCTGCACCCAAACCAAAGGATCCAGCACTATTCTATATCCCTATGTTTGAATACACACTACGTGACACATTCAGTATCACATTACAAATCACACGTACTTATGTCCAACATGAACCAACATGACTGAGGATTAGAAAAAGAGCCATCTGAAAAAGAACTCATGATCTATAGAAAACAGTCCTATAGAGAGAAGCTGTGTAAATTGCAGTAGCGCTGAAGTAACACATAACTGAACACTGAGACTCCTATTAATAGCTTCTCTGACTGGTGCATTGATTAATAGCAGTAGGACCTGGTATAAAGTCAAAGCCTCGCAAGCTCAATCCCAAATCTGCAATGCAGAAAATGCCCAGCACATTAATGCCTTTAATACAAGGAAAAAAATAGATTTTATCCTGTCATCTCAGCTAACCTTCATCAGGGAACCCCCAGAGGCCTCCTAATCCTTGAAATAATGGAAATACCCTCTCTACAAAGGATCAAAGAGATGACAGGATGGGCTGTTATGATACCTTCACGTCTTGTATCAGTTACACTTTACTAATAAATTGTAAGCTCCTGGGGACAGATTGCTTATCCCCTTTTGTTTCATCTAGCATTAGCATAGGTATTGCATCCCTCCCAGTATCTAGAGCTATGTGTCTGTACTCTGTGTGTTTATATATATATATATATATATATATATATATATATATATCATTATGATGTGGAATACACTGTTACTGACAGATCACATACACTCAATATAAATACAATCTCAACACTCAATACAAATTCAAAAAGGTATAGGCCTTGTGTATAAGACTATAGAAAAGATGTACTAACGGTATTTTCCACAGAAACTGATTAACCTCCCTATCTATCTTCTTAGGGCTCCTGGGCACAAAATCATATTTGGCTTTCAATCAGTGCCTGTCACCATTGTCCTCAGAGCATGCTCTTTTGTAATTCTGCCCACTACTTGCCATATTATACCATGTATCACATCATGTGCAGCCAATGTGCCCTTGCCTATATCACCATCTTGAGACTCAGCCCTGTTATTGCACCTCACCAATGCACTTAGCAATTAAAGCAGAAGGACACTGCATCAGAGCACCACAAATAAAAATGCTATTTATTTCATTTTTATTATTCAAGGCAAACTCACCCATCCATCCATGTCTCCGTGCTTTATTTTTCTGAGAAATCACTTTGAAAAATTCCTCCCTAGCATTTCTGACCATGGCCATCTTAAGTAAGGGCAGATGATTAATGTAGGATTTACTTACTGGAGTCCATCTGCCCTTAGCTCAGGCATTCAGGCAGGAGGGTGTGCTTAGCTAAGAAAAACCCTCCTGAAGACTCCTAGGATTTATGACATCACATGCCAAGGCATGGAAACCAGGAAGTAACTGAAGAAATGTAAAAAAAAAAAAAAGTTTAAAATAAGTAAATATAATATACTTTCCTATCTATTTACTAATGCTAGCAGCATAAGGATTACAAATAGTCATTGTTGACTAAGAGAGTGAAATTCCACTTTAAACAATCCAATTTGTGTCGTTCTTATACTCTTCTTCAAAGCCAGGCTTCCCCTTGCACTGCCTTGATGACGCCTATTGTTCTTTGGGACACTAGCATAGCCTTTACAGTGCCAACAAAATGATCAGAAGATGCTGGTTTGGCCACTATAGGGCAACATACAGTAGCTCTTTCAGGCACTTTTAGACATGTTTGCTTTATTTAAAAAAGCGAATGTGTTATAGCAATTAAATTCCATGTCTCATTTTCTTATTTGCACATGAAGCCTTACTTTTAGTATGGTGCAGTTTTACAGACTCCTCTTCTGTACTGAAATTGCTTACTCTGATATTACTGCACACTGTAATACTATTACTAGGCTGCAGCTAGAAGGAACTCTAATGATTTGTAGTATGACTTTAGGAGACTAGCAACCAACAAGCTCATCAGGAATGAGCAAGTGGTCATTATGTGTTTTCTGTTATCCTCTTGATGCAGGTTCATTACACTTTGTTTATGCCATTTTTGTTCAGTTCTGTGTTTGTACTGACATTCACTTTCTCTATTTAATATCCTCTATGTTAGTAATGGTAAAACTCTAACACAAATTGATACACTTTTTCCATGTGGTCTGTGCTGCCACTAAGAGAAAGTAATTATCTGTACAATGTGATCCATTTCTGTTTGTCACATTAAACTTGGAATGAGCTAGTGAGCAACATGTGTTTTCTGTTCTCCTCTTGACACTTAGATCACCGATAGTCCTGTAATGTCAGCATCTCAGAGTGTGCATTTAAACCCTGACTGTTCCTGGCCGATCACTTTAATTCATTAGGTTTCAAGTCTCTCAACTGTGAAGGATGAGCATCACATGTGGGTGTTAACTAGCATCAATTCAGCATGCAAATACAGCCCGCCTAATAATGCTCACTCCTCCAGACTGACACCCATCCAACAAGATATTTGATATATTTCCTTCCAAGAGCCAGCTTACTGCTTGTATCAGGATGGAGTGCTCTGGATAGGGGTACTGAAGTACGGCACTTTTGTTTTCAAGAACCTATGTACAGCACCCTGCTGGACCTTTAAACTAGCCTTGATCTGCCTGCATTGCATAAAGACACAGAGACGCTGTCACAGAATTTAATATTAGACATATAATGAAAATGGAAAAGTATATTTAAAAATGTGGATGGCATATCTGGTGGTCATGCCCGAGGCTGCTTCGTTTTTGGTCTCGTGTGTTTGGCCTCCTTTTCACCTTGTTCCATCTTTCTATACGACAGGATTTTCGGTATGCTTTGCTTCATTGTCCCATACCGGGCCTCTTGGCTCACCAGCAGAAGTTGGCTTCCTATTTGTTTTTGTGGGCCTCTAGAACAATTTCTCAGGCCTGGAAGAGCCCGTTTGTCCCTCTTCTGGGGGTGCGGGACAGATGTTGAGTATCTGCAACAACTCCCAATGTAAATTCTTGAAAATATGGGAGCCGTGGTTGCAATATACCTTTCCCATGCTCAACCCCGGCTAGCCTGGGGATGTGATGTTGTTCGGCTTTGGCGTTCTTGGATCCCTGCTCTTGGTTTGGCTATCCTTTTTTCTTTTGTACTCCTCCTTCCTTCCCCCCCTTTTTTTTCTCTGTTTTCTTTGGTGTCGCAGTGGCTAGGTGCCTATAGTCCCCTCTGAGTTATTATCAGTGTTATATTTATGTTTTGTTATTTAAGTGCCATTGATGGCCCCTGCGTGGGCGTATCTTTTGCCCTGTTGGTGTTAGAGCACTGATTTCTCTAATTTCTAGTTCCTCTATGTGCAATTGATAGCCCCTGCATGAGCGTGATTTGTTGCTTCTGTGTTAATTGTTATAAATATAAAAACCATTGAAATACAAAAATGTCGTTGGGATGGGGGGGGATCAGGGAAGGCAAACTATAAGCAGATTATACTTCATCTTTAATTAAATAGTGCAAAAAGCAATACCCCATAGCAATCAATCGCATTTCCCATTTCAGTCAGTTACAATGCTCAGAACAAACACAAAGACTGTACATGGATTACTATAGATTATCTGCACTTCGCACAAGACTCTCCTACCATCCGGGTTTTAAAAATCAGACTCAGAATGTAATTTAATAAACACATATAGGTAGCATACTGCTGGGGCACCAGGGGGATATGATGACGTTGTATACTAAAGATTGCTATGGGATGGTGGCACGTCACAATATAGGAACAGATGTCACTTGATTATAAAGAGGGACAAAGGAATTACTTCCCAAATCTGATTAATCCTCAACCAGCCTTACTGGAGCCGCTCCCTCCACTGTTGGCATGCCGGTCAGGAACTCATTACTGATGCTGGATTAATGTGGCAGCATTTACAGTGTTAAATGCAGCTCCTCTGTACAGCTGTGTCAATTTTACAGTGCATGCAGTTTTATATAGCTTAACAAGATCTGTGTCAGAGGTATGGAGTCTCTGAATGAAATGTATATCTGCGGTACCTCAGCTGTTCTCGTTATTTTTCTGCAGCAGTTGGGCACACTGCGATGTCTGTCACCCCAGGGAAGATGGCTGATGATGTCATCGCAGTGCGTGGGTGCAAAATATAGGACAGCAACACCAATTCTAGCAAAGTAAGACACAATTAATTCATTACCGAGTATATAT